TGTGGTTTGTCAATGATACTACAACAGTAAGAGTCGTGACTGGTGAGTAGTTAATGAGTGTTAAGTGAATGCATGCAATGTCAGCATGGACAATTTTTATGTTCGTGCTTACTGTGTCGTTAAGTAGCCAAGAAAGATTCTTTACCCATACATGATGAGCTACCAGTTCTGTTTCTTTCATTATACTCAACAGCAACAAGTCAGGCAGAATTCGTTTATGCTGACCATAGGGAGATAGTGCCAACGGATAAAAACTTTTGTTATGCGGAAATACATTAACAATGATACCCGGGTTAAATGTTTCAAATTTCTTCAGTTTGGCTTTAGTGATTCAATGTTTCCAAAGTAAGGGTGCAAATTTATGTCGATCTAGGAAAAACACATTAATTTGGGAGGTGAGCGATTAATTAGATTTATGGGGACCGGCGCGTGTTTAAATCACCATAATGTACGGACTGGTAATGACTGCTTCGTGAGAGAAACGATTCTTAATCAAGCATTCGTTTATTTAACAAGTCAGACTGGCTGGACAGAGAAAGATAGGTTTAACTTTCGATCTTATATCGGACTTGTCAAATTGGAAATTTTCTATTTGGTAATTTGGGTTTATCAGGTGGACTATAATTTGGCTCATAGGTTAAGGTAGGAGAGATATTTAATTCGGATCGGTTACGTCAGATAAGGAGGGGGAAGGCGTGATTTCCACCCGAAAATATGTCCCATCATAAAATGAGGCTACGCTATTCTGCAAGAGAAAACATATGTAAGAGACTCCTGGTGGAATTTAGAAGAAATTTAGTCGTAAACAATTATTAAAGGAATAAGATGCCTGGATAATCGACGGATACAATTCTGGCGGTAAAGTTTGAAAACACAAGGTATTTGTGTTAATCTCATGTAATTCGTTAATATCACTAAAACGAATTTATTTGATTTATTTGCTTATATTTGCATGAATTTATTTGTTTAGATTTGTAGATCAATATTCTTGATATGAATACAACTGTGTGAGTTCATCTATATGAACCTCAACAATGATATTCTTTATATAAGTTTGACGTACTGTTGAACGTGTTCTCTTGATTGTTATAGGAAAATATGTTTATAAATATTTCATGCCTTACTTTAGTTTATATGAGTTACGAGAATTCTCTGACCTTAGATGATTTCACGTATGATAAAGACTTGAGTGCGTATTGACTAAAATTAATCTTGTTAAACCATGAAGGGATTTCATGTATGCTAGAGACTTAAATCCGTGTATTCGCTAGAAATAGCGTAGTTAAGCCATGAATGAATTTCATTGATTCATTTGTGTAATTGTGACGAGACCAGAACTGATGTCTCGGTGTGATGTTAATGTGAGCCAGTGTTGAAATATCCATTAGGAAGTATGATGAATCTTATGAAACTAGGTTTGTTTATGATCTGCCATGTTAAGTTTGACCAGATAGCCTTTGGTATCTTTTGACTTCGGATAGAACTATATCTGACATAACGAGAGGGGATCAATGATCTATACCCACTAGAATATTAGATTGCTTCTTTGTTTATATTTATATCAACGTATCTACATTCTGAATTATATACGTCCTTACATATCCACCTACCTATGTAAAGTTCAAGGGCCGAAAGAGGCGAGACACTAGAGAGTTTGGAGAAGAGAAAGTGGAATGGACCCAGACGAATAGGCACAGTGAAGTTACAGAACAGTCACAGTGAGTTTGGCATGAACCGCAAAAAATCAAGTCATGAAATTGTAGAAAGCAATGACTTCGATTGTACACTCGAATCTATGATGAACTAAATCTTTCACTAAAACAGCTCGGCTATTTATATAAGTATATTTGTGTTGGAAATTCGGTGAATGATTTATTTAAAAAAGAAGTGTTTGTTTCGTAATGTAATGCATTATCACCATTATTTATGAATTTTGATTAAATTTTTGTCTTTACATGTATTGGGGCTCGTGTCATTCTGTTTTATATATCTGCTCAGATCTATATCTATTCCACTATACATTTTATAGTTTATATTGATATTTACTCGATCCGGGCAATAACATCGAAGGAGATCACCCTCTAGATGACGATAACCAAATTTTACTACCACACCAATGTTTAGTTTACCCCGGTTTCGCCGGTATTTTCGAGGCATATCTTGGCGATCACTGACTAGGTATAGCGTTGACAACAATGCTCATTCAAACCATATATTGTTAAATTTTTTCACATTTATTACTCACCTTGGTGGTACCAAGTTTAGTGTTGCTATGTAACTGGATCCACAAAACAGTTGACACAGAGAGAGAGAGAGAGAGAGAGAGAGAGAGAGAGAGAGAGAGAGAGAGAGAGAGAGAGAGAGAGAGAGAGAGAGAGAGAGAGAGAACATCCCGATCATGTATTGATGTATTTCTTCAGCGTTACGACAGGCTTTTCAATGCCTCTGCCAATGTCATCATTGAAGGTTCTTCTGTCTTTGCGGTTCAGGAGTATTCGGGCACCACAATGGTAGTTTTACATCCATCTTTGTTATGACTAAGTAGCATAATCAGATGGGCACTAAGGACAGTATCTGCTTTAATCCCATTGGGATCAATGTTTTGTGACACCACTACGATTTCGGGAATCATATTTGCCAATAGTTGTCGGGCATCTTTGCCTAGTACGTAGGATATAACAGCGTGATTTTCCATTTTATCTCTACGCTTTTAAATTTCGAAATTAGGCACTTGTGATTGTTGTGTTTTGCACGAAAATATTCAGCCGCTTAAATAGCGATATCAGATGTAAGACGACAATGACGGTTTTGTTTATATTCATCTAAAACCGCAAGGATATCGGCCTTTTGCACCTTTTATTATTCTGATATTATGTTCACGTGCAAATTGTTTTAGTTGCTGTACCTTTGTTTTATTTGTAATTGTTACGGCTGTTGCTGCCGCAGTGGCAACTACTATCGGTGGTGTTAGCAGTGGATTCAATACAAATAATTCAAGTATATCAGACTAACTCATACTTGTTATGTATAGTCCATTCTGTCGTGCGAGTAGTTTTACTTGTGATACAGTGGGCATGTTTATACTAAGGGGGAGGGTTAAACTTCTTTCTAATTGAGAAATTTTATCGATGACGTTTTTATTGTTGGTATTTTGTCAGGATCATAAACTGCAATCGCTTCAATCCTCGTTATTATTTCGTTTATTTCTGTTGTTGCTGTATCTGTGCTTGGGCAGCCACATGCGTTGGTGGTTTTGATTTCATTCCATAAGGTTGGCAGAGTTGACCCGGATGTCACATTTCAGGCATATATCATCTTCGCTATTCAAGGTTCCGATTTACACCTTGGCGGACCACTGTTATTTCAGTGCTTTGTCCTGGCGACATCTATTGGATTTTATGATCCCCCCCCCCGTATGTAATGTCAACTAAACAACAGCATGTGACATTGTTGCATTTGTACATCGGCCAAAAATGGAGGAGAAAATTAACTTGCAACGGATACTTTGTAAGTTTAACATCGAAAGTATGACTACATACCGAAATTAAGCATTTACAAGTGTATTTTAGGGAAGGGTGTATTTGTACAAACATGGACCGGCAGTAGAACATTGCATATTTATGAGTCCAGTTTGACTCGATCATGTAGGAACAGCGTTCAAATTTGAACAAGTTGATTTTGATTGGATGTGGTAGCTGCATGCATGGTCAATCCATCCAATAACATTCACAGACCCGCAGCATAGAAATATTAGTGTTAACATATCGGAACCTTGGTTAGTGAAGATACCTATACTTATTAGAACTTTGGCAAGCGAAGATACCTATACCGACACGCAAGCATTTTATCTAATTGGCCGAAACAGTCTCATGGCCTTTTCTCTGGTTCTTAACCTCAGTATTAATGCCACTCGTCGCTTCTTTATCTCCTCTGCATCATCAGGCAGTACGCATAATTCAGGGCGAGGTTGATAGTCTTACCGAGTCCATTACACGACTTTATAGTAACTCGAAATTTTAAATGAGACTTTTTAAAACTCTTTGACTCATTTATTTTGGTATCGACAGCAAATATTGTAAACGTAGATGTAAATTCACAGGCAAACGCGGATAAAATAAATTGCATCCTAGCATCAGCCCAAATTAACTTAAATGACTCATCCTTGAGCTTAAAGTACCCGTCAGTGGCATCTAGAAAAACTAAAATGCGACCAGATTTTGTTTACTTATACGCAATTTCATCAGATTACGTGGATCCTATTCAATTTCCTCAATCCGTTTTGCTCCGTTGCTTTAGCAACAGCTTCGTAAAATTCTGTCAGGTGCTTGCTGTCTTCTCTTTTGCGTCAGTGTAATACTTTTCGTATATCTAATGAAGAGAAGTGAGTTTGGATGCCATTCTTACACATATAGCTCAAAAGTATGTGTTTACTTAACCTGCTCTTGGATATCTTCGTCACTAACCACATCAAATAGATTCGTTTCAGACGCAGTGGGCGTCTTATTATTTTCTTTTGATGGTGTACTCTTTCTTGCACGATATTCCGCATGTTCTTTTTAGTTTTATTTGCCTCAAAAATCTACCCGAGTTTATTTCGTCCTATTTATAAGGTCACACACATGTTAAACAACTTATCAATGTGCTCCGAATTCGTTTCTGAAAATTCGTAGTATATCATCTGTGAATGAAACTGTTTTGCAGTCAAACGATACAGCGATCTCAGCTTATTGGTCACATTCTTGTCATTCTGTTCAGTGGAGAGGTTTACGGCACTGTTTAAAATTTCCATGAATTCTTTCAAAATACATTGAGAGTCAATAGTTTCTCTACCATTCAACATTTTTATATAAGCAACCAGACAGTTCTTCAATACGAGAATATCCACATCTCGAATCAGCTCAGCTATATATTTCTTTCTGCCAGTACAAAATTATCTTCGTACGTATACGATACGTAAAGACAATCAAAACACAGCAGAGGTTGATATAATGCGTTCATTTAGCTCCGGTGGCCTAGTGGTTAGAGCGTCCGCCTCAGATGCGGGAGGTCTTGGCTTCGATTCCTTCACCGGTCGAGTCATACCAAAGACTTACAAAAATGGTACTAACAGCTGCCTTGCTTGACGCTCAGCATTAAGAGGTTAGTGTTAGGACTGGTCGGCCTGGTGTCAGGATGATGTGACTGGATGGGACATCATGTTACATGTCTGCTACATGATGCCCCAGTGCTAGACATCACTATAAACTGCCACACTGCAGACATCGTAGCGATTTGACTGAAAAATTGTTAAAGCTACGTTAAAAATCATAATCACATAATCACATTTAGCCTGGGTATGCTAGCAGCGTATATTAATCGCTATCATAGGCTTTACTGTTTATGTAGATTCTGCGGGATTTCGTTTTTACAAGCACAGAAGTGTAGATATGTTCTTTTTTTTTTTAACTCAAGTAGTTTTTACCTTTTTGGACATCATTCAGGGCCACTGACATACGTATGAAACTTCCCCCTACCCAACTGGCTCACTCATGTGACCTGTGTGTTTGAACCACTGCGTACAAAATTAAAATTGCTAAACATATATCGATCGCATGTGGGCTAACTCTGTCATTTGGGTAGAGGTGAGAATGGGTGTCAGTGGGCACTAAGGGTAACAAAAACGGTTAAAACCTGCAATTTCATACTACTCACCATCCACACACACACACACACACACACACACACACACACTTAGCTCTCTCTCTCTCTCTCTCTCTCTCTCTCTCTCTCTCTCTCTCTCTCTCTCTCTCTCTCTCTCTCTCTCTCTCTCTGACACACACCTCTCTCTCTCTCAGACACACACACTCGTTAAAAGTGGGAACCAAAAATAAGATAAAATAAAATCCGCGCATATGTGACATGTGTATAGACATCAGAAATACAAATGTCAGTCGGTGTGTTATCAAGCCTCGTAAGCTAGCGAAGAGTCCAAATAATACATTTATATCAAAACAGATCAATTAAACTTTGACATATATTATGAAAGCATTATTTAAACGTATGTAAGATCTAGCACATACCAAAACTTCCGACTGATAGGCTTCCCAAAATCTAATACATAAAATATTTAAAAAAATTAATTTATAACATTTGTCACTGAGAGAATTCGCTTGACTTAATATATCCCCACCACCACCTGGGGAGGGGGAGGGCTGCCTAAGGTTTATTTTATTATGCCTCATGAACTTTTTCGCTTTTACAAAACTACTTGCATAATATCATAGAATAACTTGTATCACATCCAGCACAAATTAACATCAACGATATCATAAAATAAATATAAAATAATATAACATAGGTGCATGTTATCATAAAATAACTAATAAGCAGCAAAGCAACTCCTCTCTGAAGACGGACATAAAGTAGTTTACGCATTAGAATATTTCTCAGTTGTAATTTACTCTAGTTAATTTTCACTGAACACCGTTCAATGTGTCATAAAGATGGAAGACAAGGGTTGACAAGTTACCGGTTTTCGCATAAATTTATTGATTTATTATACTTTTGGAAAATCCGGATACAAGCTAAACAATGGCAACTCGTAGTTTAACAGAAGTTTTCATTTTAATGAGAAATAATGCCCTTCAAAGTCGCAATATATTTTCAGAGCAAGTGAGTACATTATATTAGAATTTACAGTCGAGGATCGATATAGTGTTACTATATATTTAGCAGTATACCGGGGTATTATGGTATCTTGTGACTTAAAGCGTTCGCCGAATAAGTAAATAAAAACACAGACCTTCAAGATATTATATATGTCTGTTTGTGGCTCTTAACTCACTATTAAAATGTATTTAATCTCCAGCTTAAATGATTCCAGGAAACGATCGATAACTGTTCCATGATAAGCCCAGGGAGTTAATATCGTGGTAATACCGTCAAAATATTTTTGTATGATGGCATATGCTTGTCCTAATGATGGGAACTTGATGTATATGTTGCACAACGTGTGAATCAACTTAAAAATTAATATTACTTCCGTGGCACTAGTCCTTCAACGTAAACCCCATCACCCAGATATTTTTTCTTCTTGTTTGGAGTTTTGGCAATAAAACAAAAATATGTGATATGTTTTACATTCTAGGACTACCGTGGCACTTATTCTGCCTCCTGTGCTGTACAAACGAAACTTGTCAGTCTCAGAGAATTAAAGAATTGCACCCATAGGCATACCCATCTGTGATGCAAAGAGTAACACAGGGATTGCCACTGAGAATGGACCACCAACATGAGTATGAAAGTTACTGTAGACCTCAGACTTTTTAAACAACTCCAATGAAAATTAATAAATCATGTACAAGAAGTTTTAAAGTCAACACCAGTTATATGCAAAAGCCACCAGAAAACAACAGCAGTCCATAAGTTATATTTGACTCTTATTTGCTACCACAGACTCCATTTCATTGGTTATTGACAAATATGGTAATCATGTGATATAACTCCTGCATAACATAATTGGACATCATCAGATGACATTGGTTAACTGGAGTGTTCCAGTGATAGATATTTTAGGAAGATATGGGTTGTTTTCACAGACATCATGATCGTGTACGCAAATATCCACAATGCAAAGTGAGCGTACATTGTGCTGTCATTTTGATTTTCTAACAAATCTTTATCAATATGGGTTATCACGCATATTTAATATAAAATCTGATTTAATTGTCGCTAAAGGATGTTAAGTTAATCAAAATGATACATAGATTATACCTGAAAATATGTGCCTCTTTAGCACGAAAATAAAAATACAACTGTAAGTTCCATGGTTTATATCAAAAGACAGAAAAGTGATGTTGAACTGTAATTGAACATATTGCTATTAAATATAATTGCAGGCTTCTCTCTATAAACAGACAATATCGACGTTTTAAATATTTTGTATGATATCCCTGATCTTGTCACAGTGAAAGAGTATTTCCCAACAATTATCTTCCAGATACAATAACAGTTACAGAAATTCAAGGTCGTATTGTGTGTATTGTGCCAGAACTTTAATGAATAAATACTTTTCACGAAAACATGTGCTTGTGCCAAAGACAGCTGAAAAAACAATTTTAGTCAGTACGGTCAAATATTGTATTTGTGGTGGTTATGATAAATGTAGGATGATATTGAACAGAAGCAATAACCGTTCAAAGAAGTTATCTTCAGTGTATTAAAGCTAAACATTTGCCTACCAAAACATGACTTTTTACAGAACGTCATAACCAATTTTTTTTTAAATGCTCTAAGAAATATGAAATTATATATTAACTATTGTTTTTTTTGTAAAACTTGAACTATAACTAAATGATTGATTTTAGTCAATGTAAATTGAGAATCATTACATGTTTCTACACGTTTGTGTTTCGATTTGGTTATGCGTCTGTTTACTGATTGATCTATTTCTTTATGAAAGAATAACAAAGATGGTTCAAATGTTAATGTTTCACTTGAAGAAAAAGGTGAAAGTCAAGCATCTGTTCTTGTGCGGTTGATATGCAGAACAGAATGTGATGTATTATTATATCCTTACGCACAATACGAGACTTGCCTTGATAATTATATGGGAATAACAATGTTGTTAAGTACTGGTTTGAGACTCAAAATGGCGGATATGGAAGTACACACATTTTGTGACGTCACATGAAAACAATGGATAGGTTCATTTGATAATATGGGGTATGGCCATTATATGGAAACAATGATATTCATGGATATATTTTTAAATCAGTGTACTTATCAGTAATCCTGACATTTTCCCAATATCAACTGGTTGTGCAGAACTAGTAACATATGGTCATATAGTGTATATAAGTACATGATAGGTGCCACTATGCAGAAAAAAATGCTGAAAAATCAAAATTTAATGATACCATAAAATCCACAATATTTTAGAAACCTACCATATATGATCTTGGGAATGATGATACATGCAAATGCAGTGTTTTGAAAAACATGATCAGCCTCCATGAGTAAAATATTGTACCCTCTCAGTGTGAAAATAAATCTTAATCTATTTAGTGTATAATTCATTATGCATGATCATCTTGTGTGTGGTCTAGTCCTGCAATGGAAGACACCTCTCCTGATATTTTTGTTTTTAGGTTGCTGTCTTATTACGTAAATAATCAGAAATCTTACTGCATTTCATCATTATCAATGAATATCATTAGCAGTATATTTGAAAATTTGTTTTATTCATGTAGAATGTCCGAGGTATACTGCAATGGGAACGAGAAGTAAAATTTTCAGGAATATCTTTACACTGTTGGCAGTCCATATTCAGTCTCTACAAAATAAAGTCCTATTGCTTTAGATGGAATTTACTTTTATATCTTTTTTGTAACAAATTCAAATTTTTGCACAATCAAATGGACATACTTTCAAGTTCTTTTAACCAAAATATCAGTTGGCTGGAATGCATGGGAAGCAGGTAATGCCAAAATCAGATTAAGTTGAAGTATTTCTTTAACAAAATGAATAAAATTATATTAATATTGAAGAAAGTGTTAAGGTGGCTTAGTTGTGTTCAAGATAATTATCGTCCTTTTAATCTATTTGGTTGTATGAGAATTTGAATTTACTTAAAAAAGACATCCGAGTAAGTAAGTAAAATCCATCTAAAGCAATATGACTTCAGTTTATAGAAAATCATTTATACTGGCTGCCATGTGTGTGATATATTCTTAAAATTTGCCTTCATATTCCAATGTTAGTCAGCCAAAGAACATACTACACAGTGCCCTTATTTAGGCAATAAGACAGTTACCTAAAAAAAACACAAATATCGGGAGGCATCTCACATTGTAAAGCTAGTGTGTGGCCATTTTAGTATATCTCTAAAATGTAAGATGTTGACTCCTTTAGATACTAGAACTAGAATTATGGGAATTGGTATCTCTGGCATTTATAAACCTGTATCTGACTCCCATTTACTGGGGCTTGAAATACTGAATTTTTTCCTTGGTCATACAGAATCAGCATGATAAAATGTTTGAAACAGAGGTTAAGTTTTTAACTTGGTATTTATTATTCATTTTGACCTTAAATCAAAT